ACAGGAGCTTTTCAGACTAATTTGCATCATCTTGTCTTGACTTGTCTGACTTTTGTTCCTTTTTCGACTTCCAAAAATTTGTCTTCACTTTATTTGCATATCAATCAACAGGTTGTGTATATAAACCTGCTTTCCCCTCTGGTCTCTCAGTCACTGACGAAAGCTAGTGGATACTAGCTGAAACGTCTGACGTTTTCAAAATCATATCCAGTTGCTTGAGTAACTGTTTTTTGGCATATCGTATTACCTGGATGTCTAACCTTCATCGACGTATTCCAGCAACTGTTTATATTCCCGGAACATTCCGGTAGCTGTTATATTCCCGGAACATTCCTGTAACTGTTTATATTCCCGGAACATTCTGGTAACTGTTTCTATCCCTGGAACATTCGGGTATCTGTTTATATTCCCGGAACATTCCGGTAACTGCTTATATTCCCGGAACATTCCGGTAACTGTTTATTTTCCCGGAACATTCCGGTAACTGTTCACCACCGCTGATACAGCCACGCTGATTGTCGTGTGGATGGCGCTGATGGGAGTTTTCCTCTTCATCACCATGATCGTCATCACCATCCACGACAGGGAGGGGAGTCTGTCTCCTAGGGCGAAGACTTTCTTTCTCTGCTACATGGCGAAGTAGGTGTAGTTCATAATTATATTACAATAAAGATAATAGTTCTTATCTTGAGAAATTCAACCTGATATTTCTGGTTGACTACGTTTTATTTAATATTTTATTCATTGCACATTAAATGAACATGTAATTGAACATTAGAGCATATATATTGGCTCTCTGTCTATGTTTATACATGTATCACGGACATTAGGCGGGCTTTCTACGTCGACCTCTGCCATGTCATCGGCCAGAACGCCGTCGTATGTATGCGTCGGGTGGTGTAGTGGTTGGCGTCGGGTGGTGTAGTGGTTGGCGTCGGGTGGTGTAGTGGTTAGAGCAATCGACTGTGAACCGGGAGACCCGGGTTCGATTCCGAGTCATACCCGGGACATGTCTGAACATGCGCCCCGACGTTGTGCCCTTGGGAAAGGCACTTTACACGAATTTCCTCACTCCACCCAGGTGTGAATGGGTACCTAACTTCGGTTGGGGAAAGTCGTATTGAGGTCACCTGGCGCCGAATTATGGCTGCCGTATAGACCCTTGGGACAGTTTCACAAATATTTGTGGAACAACTATGTGTATTATTTGATTGTTGTGATTTGTCTTGATTATTATGTAATACCCTGCATCAATTCAGCCGAATAAAGGCTGCGACTGCACGGGTACTGTTTGGACAATAAAAACCATTTATTATTATTATTATTATATGATTCTAAAAGAGAGATATTTGCAATAGTTGAGATCACTGTAAATGATGGCAGACACAAGTGAGAAACATTCGCATCATCATTATTTTGACTTCCTTCTTTTAATGATTATGAAAGGTTCCTCCTGCTCGGAGACTTGACAGTGAAGGAGGCTGCAGGTGAAGATAATGAGACTGGCCCGAACGGCGTTCTGGCCGATGACATGGCAGAGGTCGACGTAGAAAGCCCGGCTAATGTCCGTGAGACAACCCGCCTGCCTCCCGTGTCGCCGGCGCCGCCCGCGCGCCTGGAAGTCGCCGGCTTCCGTGACCTGATCCGCGGCGTGGAGGAGCTGACCAGGGCGGCGAAGAGCGAGCCCGAGGTGTCTGACTACACCCTGCTGACCAAGGTCCTGGACAGGCTCTGCCTTGTCATGTACGCCATCGCCATTGCTGTGGCCGTGCCCATGACCATGTACCTGGGCAAGTAAAGATAGTGTTAAAGCACAGGGTTCGTGTACACATGGCCTAAAACACAGAGTCCAACTTAATTGCTTTTTATCGATTCAGAGTTGACAGACGTTTACGTACAGCCGGGACTGTCCTAATAAAGGCCTAGTCCTTTGGCAACTTTAGGAAGCTAGTAACCTAAAGGTAGAACTTTTATATTTCACTGTGATAGATTGGATATTATAGTGTGAGAATGTGAAATGTGTGCAGAGACTTTTGAGCGTATTAAAGTCGACATTTATATGGTAGTAAACCCAACGGTAAAACATGCATTTTAAATTGATGTGTTAGAATGGATAGTAGTGTGTTTTTTTGAGCGTATGAAACTTATTTCTTCAATGTACATGCATTTAATATATGTACTAACTCTATTTACATTATTGTAGGATCGACAATTGGCCTTTATGGTGTTTTAAGTATGACCTTGTAAATATTTTGCACTTTAAGTCTAAGATAAGGGAGCTAGAATACTGAATTTGAAACCTGTAAATCCATTTTTTATCCACGACTCTGTCACTTAATTTAGTGTTAATGACCCATTCTGAGGTGTATATTGTGTCATAAAACCCGGTTGTTTCCTATAACCCCCGAAGAAATCGCTGAGTGAGCGAAGCATTAATAGTGTACAGTAAGCCGGCACGTTGGCAGAACGTACTGCACCTGCGCGAAACCCGCAATGTATTGTACATAGCATTTCGGCAGAATGTCTTCATATAAGGTTGTATTCGCTCAAATAAGGTTAGCATTTTGACAGTAGTTTCCGAATGTTGTGTCGGAAAGAATATCCTATGCAACAGGCAAAATTCTGATGCAACGTTGACCAAAAACCCAACGAAAAACGCGAAAATACGGGGTTCTGCGCAGGTGCAGTACGTTCTGCTGACGTGCTATCTAAGTCCAGGATATGACGAGGGTGAAAAACCTAAGAGATTCACGTTACGCTTTTTTTATTCGTGTGTGCATGCTTAATATTTAGGAAAAATGTTCAAAAGCGTGAAGTTTGAATAAAACGTAACGCAAAATTGAGTGTTTCATGTATACAACTTACTGTCTGCGGATGTAAGTCTGTGTGTCTGTACATTAATTTGTGCGTGCGATTGTGTGTACATAGATTTCCTATCTCACAAAATGTACTGTATACATGTAAAGGTAGCATTCTAAAACGTAACGTAGCGCAATGTGACCGGTGTAGTTAACATATTGACCCAGTCATGTATTACGGGATGATATGTTTTAATTAATACATGCAAGATACTAAAAGATACGATGCACAACTTAACCCTAAACAGTACACCTGGGGTCCGCGCGGACCCCAGCACTATATATTTTGTAATATTTTTTTTGTTTCTAAGGATTTTTTTTCTGAAATTTCAGGTAATTGTCACCCACAAAGTTGTCCCTCGATACAGTGCAGAAAACTCAGTTTCCCCCATTTTTTAAAATTTTATATCTGATTTTCTTTTGAGGTCCGCGCGGACCCCAGCCGTGAATTCCGCGAATCTAATTATACCGCGGAAATTTGTAGACTTACAGTAGCTAGAAAATTCAAGGCTGGGTGGAAGTGGGACCATTTCAAGGTTTTTAGCAAAAAAATCACGATGGCAAAAAGATATACATGTAACGTTCTCTAAAAATTTTGTCGACGCAAAACAGTAAATGCATTGCCCACTTGGTGCCAATTTGCTACACACATGGTGCGTTCTTATAGTCCTCTATGCTCTCTAGAACATCTCTTGGGTGCCCGACTGGTACACAGGTGACGTGTGAAGACGATAATGACTTAATTATACACTGTAGTTATACATGTGCGTAGTACCCATTATATGAAGCATATCCCTAAGGGCCTGCACTCAGGATGCTGGACGACATTTTAAAAACCTCTCTCTGGTGTAAGCGAATTTTAAATTGCTATGTAGTGAACCGCTTGCGTCATTCGTTATCGATGTCATTTTGACGTTACTACAGCAACACATTAGGTAATTTCAAGAATCCCTTTTTTTCGTAAATGGACCGAAAGAGTCTAATTTTCCGGTGTGTAATTATAATGGGGATTGTACGTTATCTTACGGGCGTCTAGTGCCAGAATAACAGATATATATCAACTCTGGGTGAATTTTAACTACAAAACACCAAATGTTAGGACTCAATTTCAGCGTTGTAAAGCATGCACTATATGCCTTCACCAATATTTTTACAGATATGATATATGTTGAAAAAGGCTTTATTTTTGTTGAGAATAATCGAAAAAAGGGATGCCATTTTAAACAATCCATCTGTTTTAAATATTTTTTATGCAGTGTGGCTAACATTGGCCCTTAGTTACTAAGGTTATGGCTGTGAATGCAATTTATGGGGAGGACACTAGCCTCACTAAACCTCGCTTTTCGCCGGCTTTCTAGTTAGCTCCTTTTCTCGGACAAAGAGCTTGTGCTAACAGGCTGAGAGGAACACGTTTGAAAGAAGCAAACACACCCATGACATTTTTACGATTTAATAAAAGGGGATTTGTACACATTTGCTTGAGTACCAATTTCTTTGCCCATCGTTTTTGAAATTTTACTGACACATCATGAAGTTATTAATGAATTTATTTGATGATTAATTTATTGGGGTTAGTTAATTTATGAATTGAATTATTTAGCAAACATTGCAGAGTACTAGTGTTCATATTACGTAACTGCATGTTGCCTCTGGGGTTATGGGATGAACGGTGCATACAGTTTAGGTGATACTAAGAAGGTCAAAAAATAATTCGTTTATTCGTTTATTTCAATACCCTTTAGTCCATGAGAACTAATTTTCCAGGCTTCAAAACATTTAAAACAAATGAACTAACTGGCAACACAATAAAAGAGAATGAACATACATAATCATCACAAAGTATATACAGGTTAAGCAATGACTTAATTAATATATAAAACTTAACTTATGTACAACTGGTGGATGGCCTTTTTGAATTGATGTGGACTGGTCAGTGTTTTGATACTGGGTGGCAGGGTGTTCCATAGATTAATGGCGCGGTGGAGAAATGTTCGCTTTTTGGTGTTTGTTTTTGGTTTAGGTAGTTTGAAACATCAAGAATTGGCAAATCTGGCAAAAAAACAATGTAGATCAAATTTCAATCTAGATGTCTATGCCCTCGCTGTCTTTGATAGCATCATGATGAGCTTCGAATAAAACGGCTAGTCTCTCTTGATTTGCCATAGAACAAGAGTTACGTTTAAAAATCCCTTTAAAGAATTTGTAAACGTCGTTCAGTTTTGGAGAGATCAACATATGCTTCAGTTCATTCCGCAGAGAGTAGGATTCGTCCCTGACTCCAGAAGCTACTTCACTCCACAAGAAATGTGCCGCCATGTACTCTTGGAATGTAATGTGTACGAATTCAGCGTAACCGTTTTTTCTCGCGAGACAGGACGAGATTTCACGTGTCAAGATATCGACAGAAAGCATATCCTGTCCGTTTGGAAACTGTTCCTTGATTGAATCGATCACAAATGTTAGTTCACCTTTTCTAAGCCCATCCCATGCAAGCTTCCCCAAACATCTTAACAGTTGCTGTATTGAATGATCTTTTAAGTCAAATCCCAATCCTTTCTCGGAACAGAAGCGCCTAACAAGACAATGGATCGCAGCCATGTACAATTCTGTTTTTCCAGAAATTAATATACCACTGGTATCTTTCCAGATGGAACAGATCAACATAATATCAAGTGGGTTTACAGCAAGCTCTCGAAGGCTACGGGTTTCCTCAACTTTTGTCAGAACCTGACGTGAAGTCTCTTCGTTGTCCTTGAAAAATTTCATGGCATAGTTTAGAGAATTTTCCTTTGTATACCCCATGATTTTGCAAAATGTGTCACAATGGTCTAGCTCTAGTGGTTTAGGATATGGCCGAGAAGTGACAAGAACATGGCACTTCTGTAAAATCGTTTCTTGAAACAATTTGGAGTGAGAGCTCACTTCTTGTAAACCGTCAATAACAAAGAGGATTTGGTCTGGATGCTGAAGAATGTAGTCATGCAATTCTTGTTTGCTAAATAAATACATGTCATTATACAATATTTGGTCGAATATTGCATCCAATATACCACCCGTTATGTACCGAAGCTCAATAAGAAAGACCAATAAAAAGCGAGTCAGTTTGCCGGTTGCCCAATCGTATGCTAGCTTCTTGCAAGAAATTGACTTCCCTGTTCCAGCCGAACCCTCTAAGTGTACTTTTCTGACCTTTCTTTGTGTAGTTGTTTGCTTAGGTTTAGGATTTCTTTGTGAGGTCGAAGTTTTCGGTTGAAGAAAGATCTTCGTAAGACTGTCAACATTACTGACGTCGTTAGACTGTCCAATGTCGCCACGACACTGTATGTGTGGGTCGGTGTAAACATCCGGAAGGTGCAGTTCATGTTCTTCTCGCAAAAGTAGAGGGCGCTCTTGCTCGAACTGTGTCCTGTAGAAATCTTTCAAGTAGCTCGTGACATCATTTCCGACGTGGGGGAAAGGATCTAAAAGAACGGGAAAAAATAATTTTAAAATTTTGCAATCATGAAAATATATTACCTAAACACTGTGTCATTTTGTGCCTATTAGGAATCAAAAATAGTCTGAGAAATGGTTTGGTGAAGTAATGATTTAACGAATCCATAACTTTTTTGCAAAGAACACGAAACTATTCTTAGTAATAAGCCTTTCTTATTCAATATTTATTCAAAGGTAACTTAGTGATTAACGTGATTTGCATACTTCGGACCTCACCTTCCGACACAAGTTCAGAAGGCGTCAAGTACATGTCCTGACGGGACAGCGCGGCCATCTTGGGGAGGTGGGCACAGTGTTGACTTTCTTTACATTTATTATCGCAGCATCTAGAAAAAAAGATTCAGACAGAAGTAACTTTAAAAGTGCAATAAATTGGTTTGCATTAATATGTCTCATATTCTGATTTTTAATTTACTTGTTTAATCTACAGGAATAAAATAAACAGTAGTTGTAATAGTTTGCGATTGTACCGTGCCAAAAATATAAATGTGTGCATTTTAACCAAAATCATCTCTTATAATCCCAATACATATGCAGCATGAACAAGCCACCAGGCTTTTACCGCTTAGATATCCAGGTAAGCTCTTCAACACATTTTTTAATACCTCAATAATACCGATTTTTGTTCTGTTGACATCTGATCTTACTATTATGAGATCTAAAATAATATATGTATATGCGATAAATAAGTTAACCGTTTATATTTTAGTATGCATTTGTAGTAGTATAAAGACCTGACTGTGTTTGTAAACAAGCCTGACAATTCGGCCTTCGGGCTGCGACTGGGCTGTATTTTTTTAGAGAATTGAATAAACCATTCTACTACTACTACTATTACTATTACAGGAAACCGTTAGTCGTTTGATTTTTAAACAAAATCCAAATCTACTCACCTTTACAAGCAACTGAGGAAATCGACTATGACATGTTGACGTGGCTGCTAAAAGGCAAGTCTCATGATTCGGTTGAGCAAATATTGACTCGATCATAGGTTCATGGTTCAACAGCTCAAGGTACGGCATATGACCTTTGTTACTATATAGCGTGTACCTATACAGTAACAATGGCCTGTAAACGCACGGACGTACTGCCCTCCTACCTCTATTATTTTATGATAATCACAGTGACTGTTCTACGATAAAGTCCAACTGAATTTTGGGAATATGTAACATTGCATAGAAACTGCTCAAAAAGCTTATTTAAAACGTTAGTGGTTCAGGTATGGGTTAATTAGTAATCTATTCTCCTCTGGACTATTATACTCTAATTTTCCATTATTTCTAAACTATAATGGTTTTCTTTTAGTCTCTGTCCTTTATTTTCCATTCGATTTTGAATGATATTTCACACTGCAAATATTATAATGACGTTTAAGAATCTAAAAAGCAAATTTGGACGTTTTGTTATTTGTGATTCGTTCAATATGTCTTTGTACATAATTGCAATATATTTACAATCATGCTTGTCACTTGTTGGTCCATTATTTACATGTACACTATAACATTTATTCGTTTTAACTTGTGTATTCTCACATTTCATATGCGACAGAATCTATCTATTTTTAAGGAGCACTAGTTAAGTCATTTTTAGTAGATTATTTAAATATGAATTAGAAAATCAATTTTACCGTCGATCTGTAAAGGCCTGCCTAAATTCCAAATAAGATAACAATCTATATAATTATAATTTATATGGGTTGGCTGTTACATGTTTAACTACAAGTAAGCACACTAAGCCAGAAAGCCGCAAACACACGCAATTACAAGTATTACTTGTTGGCGGGGTAAGTAGAAATCTCGAAATCTTAGGTAATATGTATATGCTTAAGTGAACTGTTCCGATTATCATTATATATTATTTATTTATTTTGTTGGTTCAGCTGTACAGGGGACAGCCAGGGCTGCCTTACAAGTTACAGAAATATTTTATTTATTTTTTGGGTTATTTGTATCAACATCATATCAACAACATATCTCGCAGCCTTAACATACAGGGCTGAATTCTGATCAAGTTGTTTACAATATAAATTATTTATATGATAGGGGAATACAAATTACAATAATATCGTAATGTACAGATTGATGTATCACTTTGGTTCGAAAATTTGGTATTTACAATCTTACAATCGTACAAACTATGACAAGCCCTTTTAAATTTCCAATTATTGTAAAAACTAGAACTTAAATCAGGACGCCTATCAAGCGGCATTTCCAGTAATTGGGCTTATATTATTACAGCATCATTACACCGATAAGTGATTGCTTTATGCAGATGATAGAAAAATCGCCAGGTGGCGCTGTTGCGTGGTCTGTCATCTGCAGCTGGCATTGACCTCTAGGTCGCCTCTTGCGTAGGCGCGCGTCATGATCGCACTCACGACTAGCGCCTCCTCCTCATTAGTCAAGGTGTCCCCCGTACAATGAGCGAACGCTTTCTAAATATCACCGAGCACGTCCGCCACTGTCAAGCTATGTGGACATTTCTAAGCCTAAACAGCGCTCTAGGATTATTTTAACCCTATCTAGACCGGGGGGGGGCTAAAAGTGCCCGCGCCAACTTTGATGTCACATAGCGTCTGAATGGCTAGGGCTAGAATGACCAAACTTGGTGACTTTTCCTAAAATATTGTTGGCAACAATTTTCTATCATTGGAATAAGATAATAATTTTTTGTGTTGCCATGGCAACGGGTTTCTGACAGGCATTTTTTGCTAAATTTAGTAATTTTTGTTTTAAGAATAGAATTTTATGGGTTTTATGTCAAGTTACTCATGGTTTCTAATATTAATAACATCCCATATGAATTTATGTTAATTTTATCATTAAATATGCATAATTTATGCTAATTTGATGACGTCATTGGCCAAAATCCAAGATGGCGGACCATATCATTAGAACAGGTATATACAAGTTATTTTCCTTAAAATTTTATCAATACTTCCATTTCTTTTTCCAAAAAAGGTTTAAATGAAGGTCTTTGGTATGTTTACAATGTATTTTAGGCTTTATCACGAAAAAAAACTATTTTTGAAAATTCAACATTGATGATCCAAGATGGCGGATATCTTAAATATGTATGACGTCATTTAATGACGTCACCGGTGTTGCTATGGGCAACATAAGACTTAGTACACTCTAATATTCTGTCATAAACACTTTTGGTAAAGTTATGTTGAATACCATTTAGTTTTCAGGGAATAGCCTATCTAGACGGTTTTGGCCAATAAAATCCCATTAATGACGTCATAATGACGTCATATTACGTCACAATGACAAAAAAATTGTAGATATGATAAATTTTAACTAGTACACCATCCTCTGAAAATTTGGTAGCCATACGACATACCGTTAGCGAGTTATGAGGGGGGGGCCGAAAGAGCCCCCCCCCGGTCAAATCTTGCTCAAAAAAGCCCGGTCTAGATAGGGTTAAGCCTTGCACAACATCTCCTGGGACATCCAATTCCACCGGCACGGAATTTCCCCAACCGGCATATGGTAATTTGACGGCTCGATTTCAGGTAAGACGTTCGATCGATATTATGTACGGTTTATTTTAAAGGTTCATCTCAGTACTGTACACAATTGATCCATTCTTTTTCTATTTATTCTTGAAGGTATCATCCTTTGTTTATTCTCTGTTGAGCCGGCTAATCGATTTGCCGGTACGGTGGTTGTCTGTAAAGCGAAGGTCGCCGGTACCGAACCTAGACCATGTACACTCAGCATAGCAACGTCACGTAGCGCCTACGTTGCGTAATATCCATATTCAAACGACGGCCCGGCATCTAAGGCCTTTTCCCCAGACAATTTGAGAATTCTCAGAATTATTATTATTATTAATCATTTGCTAGGAAAAATATCGCTCCACTACAAATGTATGACCCACAAGGTTAGCAGTATTAATATTTTATTTCTTAGAACCATATATTATATAAGATATGATTCATTTTTTCTTAGACATAGCACCACAATTCGCTATACCCTTTTCTCTATGAAAAACCTTTACGAATATAGTCATGCGCAGTGACACATGTATCAACGTTATATATTTATATCTGTATATTTTGTAAAATTGTTATACGGTATGCATTTCATATATAAGGTTAGTTGTATTCTAACGGATCGGTCATTGACCTTAACCCAACGATCTGTAGTCAAAATACATTTCGTCAGTAGAGCGTAATCGTAATGAGAAATGTCAGCTGTATCTTAAAGCCGCTGTCACACAGAGACGAATATATGGCCGGCCAAACCTGGCCGTTTGATTATATGGATTCTCTGGGCATTCTCTGGGAACCCAAAAACTAATGCGAGAGTGTAAATTAAAAAAAAAATGTTTAGCAAAAAAATATATACTTGCTTATTTTCCAACTGTTTTGTACGATTTACCGTATGGTTGAATTTTGTATTTTTTTGGGAAACGGCCGAAAATTCATGCGCACGTGGATGTCATCCAAATAATCAAATCAACATGGCCTTAGGTGTAGGTTGGGAGTAGGTTGGTTGTGGTTGGCTGTTATTTAGCAAGGTTGGCTACTGTTCGGCTGCGCCAACCGAATTTTTCAAAATATATATATATTTTTTTAAATTCCGGTGAAGACGGGAGGTTAAGCCATTGCTGGGTAGTGTTTGGGTCAGTGGTCGGTGCGTGGTTCACTCAAATTTAACACAAATTTGATCCAATTTGAAAGAAAGGCATGTTTGAGAAAACCCATACTAGAGCCTAAATCTGGTAGATTTGCTCCCGAATTATATAGCCAACGTTTCTTGGTTGGTGGTCTCGGGAAGGGTTAATTGTGTGAAAGGAATTTTACTTGCTGGCAGTTTTCTTTACTTCCTTCTAAAAGGAGATAATGTTTTAAACATGCTTATAGAAAAAAAAAAAACAATTCGATGCGCGAAAGAAAAGTAAGATTTACCATGCAAAGTCAGCCAATATACTTCCAACTTAAAATAATCGCGATCGTGCAAGCTGACCCGTACAAGCTGTCGCACTGTTTAATTTTAGGGCAAACGGTCTGATGAAATTAGGTATGGTGGGTTGTTAAGCTTACTGGAATATATACGAACTTATTTAACTGAATCATATGGTTAGATTTGATTACTAGCTTTGCACATTAGAAATGTATTCATAGAAGCGTTGGTGGATTTGTGTGAAATAGCATAACTAAAGAGGTTATGGAGTGTTAGTACCTGAAATTTAGTATTATTGGTGCGCCTGTATGTACCAAATACACCATGAGTTATAGTGCAAAATTAAACTAAGGGCATCCAT